GAGTCTGGCTTATTTTGCTCAGTATGATAGCCTCCAGATCCATCTATTTCTGCAAATGACAAGGTCTCATTCTTTATAGATGGCTGAATAATACTCAATTGTGTATGTATGCCACGTTTTCTTTTTTGTTGTTTTGTTTTTTGCGATAGGGTCTTTCTCTGCAGTTCAGGCTTTGAACTCATGGCGATCTCCTGCATGCTGGGGTCACAGGTGTGTGCCACCACACTCAGCACATTTTTTTTTGTCCATTTATCTGGTGATGGTCACTGAGGCTGGGTTCATTATCTTGGTTTTTCTTTGTTGGGCGACAACATGGGTGTGCCCATATCCCTATAGTATTCTGACTTTAATTGGATTGAGTATATACCAAGGAGTGGTACAGCTGCATGCAGCAAATGGTAGCTCTGGTTGTAGTTTTTTGAGGAACCTCCATATTGATTTCCATAGCGGCTACCCTAATACTCATTCCTTCTACCACTGTAGAAGGGTTCCTTTAACTTACATTCTTCCCATAATTTATTGTTTTTTGTGTCCTTGCCAACAGATGTTCTGATTGGGATGATATGGAATCTCAGTGTAGTGTTTTGTGTGTGTGTTTGGTATGGTGCTGGCAATTGAGCCCAGGGCCTTGTATATGCTGGGCAAGTGCTCACCACTGAGATATATACCCCCAGCTCTCAGTTTGATAAGCGTTTCTCTAATGGCTGGAGATGTTAAACTTTTTTTAAAAATTTTTTTTTTATTTATGTTGAACATTTTTTTCATATACTTATTGGCCATTTGTACTTCTTTTGAGAAGTGCCTGATCAATTCATTGGCTTGTTTATTGATTGGGCAATTTGGTTTTTTGATGTTAAGCTTTGAGTTCTTCACATATTACATATATTAATCTTCTGTCAGAAGAGTAGTTAGTTCATAAAGATTTTTTCCTATTGTATAGGCTGTCTCATATCCATCCTTCCTATTATCTTTTCTTCCTTGCTGTGCACAAACTTTAATTTGAAGGGCAGCTGTGCTCACTACTATACCACCAATGCAAAAACTTTAATTTGATCTAGTCTATCTGTTGATGTTTTTGCTGTTTCCTGTGCTACTGGGTTCCTATTTAGGAAGGACTTCAAGTGTTTCCGTTATGTTTTGTTTTCTTTTAGCAGTTTCAAATTTTCAGGCCTTATACCGAGATCTTTTATCCTTTTTTTTTTGAGACAGGGTCTCACTATATGTAGTTCAGGCCGGCCCTGAACTTATTTTGTAGCCTGGGCTGGCCTTGAACTTGGAGCAATCCTATTGCCTCAGCCTTCGGAGTGCTGGGATTATAGGTGTGCACCACCATGGCTGGCAGATCCATTTTGAATTTTTTTTTTTTTTTTTTTTTTTTGAGACAGGGTCTTGCTATGTAGTTCAGGCTGGCCTTAAAAAATTTAGAATGGGGATAATAGAAAACCTTCTTTTTAGGTCAAAGGACTGTTGAGAATGGATTTACTTGGAAATAAAGTAAGCAAAAAGAGAACTGTGTTACTATACTCCTCTAATTCATGAAGTAGGAACAAAAGAACATGGAAAGAACATCTGACATCAGAAGCCTCTGTTCTAGATCTAGCTCTGTCTTTACATAACTGTGATATTAGACAAGTTATTTAGCCTAACTTTCAGCTTTTCTGAGGAGAATAATTGGTGCTTTACAGAATTTTTGTGAGCATTAGAAATAATATGGATTTAGTACTTAGCAATAAAAATAAAAATTAAAAATAAAATACCAGGCATGATGGTGTGAGCCTGTAATCCCAGCCTTTGGGAGTCTGAGGCAGGAGGATCATTGTAAGTTTGAGACCAGCTGGGGCTACAAAGTGAGCTCAAGGCCAGCCTGAACTGTATAGTGAGACCCTGTCTCAAAAAGACAAAACATAAAAATTAAAAAAAAAAAAAGTACTTAACAGTACTTGGCATGTCGTGATCACCTCTGGTAACTTTTTAACCATGAACACTAATACTATTGTTATGTGATCTTAGGAGACCCCTTTTTGCCTTAATTAATCTTTATCTATAAACTGCAAAAGTTAGGTGTTACCAAAGATTCCTCAATTCTGAAAGGATTCTGGCTAACCTGAGTTCATAGGAGAGACCATAGGAAGTTGTTCTCTGATCAAGGTCACTGTGTAAATCAGATATTTGTTTGTTATAACATATATTATTAAGATGTGGGAGAAAAGGGAGAGAAAAGGGATTTAAAAAAGAATTAAGATATACTCTGTACATGTACCAGCTCCACGCAGGGAATGGAAACATTATGTATTGCAAACACATCAAAAAAAAAAAAAGGCCGAGGATATATCAGTGGCACAGTGCCTGCCTGGCAAGTGCATGGTCCTCAGTTTGATTCTCAGTACCAAAAAAAAAAAGGAATTGAGATGGAGGGAGGGAAGGGAAAGGGAATAATAAAGGAATTAAGATGTATTATGTACTATAAACATGAATAATAAAAAATGTAAAACAACAACAAAACCAAAAACAAATTCCCAAATCTTAAGATACTGTAAGGCACAGAAGTACCTGCTCATTCACCCTTGAATGATATATATATATGTGTCACTGAGAGAAGCCAGCCTTCCACTGAACAATAGTGTGAGCTGGGAGCAACTAATCTCATGCCTTGTTTAAGGGTGTAGTGGTATAGTAGGAGATAAGCCTGAAGGCTGTTAGTGCACAGCGGTGGGAGGGTTTGGGGAACTGGCATATTCCCCTGGTGATGTCAGTGGGTGTCATTCTTCTGCGGAACATTTTCACAGTTGGTTGTCAAGAGTCTCTGACCCAGCAAATTCAGCTTCTTAGGATTTACAGTATCTTAAGGGGAAAATTATGGGTATGTACAGAAATTTATATACAAAAATTTTTCTAGAAATATTTTAGAAGTGAAAATACTGGAAAAAAGACTAAAAATGCAGAATAAATAATAATGATACACTCTTAATTTTTATGTCTGTTGACATGAAGAAATGCTTTTAATATGCAAAGCAGATTTAAAATGTCAGTGATCTAGGCTAGTGTTTAGTGATAGAGCAATTGCCTAGTAAACATGAGACCCTGTACCATCCCAGCACTGCAAAGAGGCAAAAAAAGTAAATTCATTTTTAAAATATAAAATAATAGTGCTGGGGGGCTGGGGATATAGCTCAGTGGCATAAGCGCCTGTCTGGCAAGCACATAGTTGTGAGTTCGATCCCCGGTACTGCAAAAAAAAATAGGGCTGGGGACGCAGTTTGGTGATGGAGTACTTACCTAGCATACATGAGCCTTGGGCTTGATCCTCAGCACCAGAAAAGCAAAGCAAACAAAAAAGTAAAATAGTTTGTATATTTATATGAAGGTGAACTCTGGGTAAGGTGGTACTATAGATTACCATATTTTTAAAATTTTTAAGTACTTAGTTTTATAAAAGCTTTTAAATTACCTTTAAAAAATTAACATGTGCTATTATAATGAAATAAAAGTTTGAAGAAACTCATTAATTTAAAAAATGTTTATGCAAGTGATTACTGGTATCAACTTCCCTTCCAAGATTCAGAATATTTTTAAGCACATGTTGTTCCCTGGATAAAGACAAATGGCTCATTGAGTTTCATAGCCAAATTATTTGCCAATGAGTGTAGTAGGTAGGCTGTTTTTTCAGGCCACTTCCAGCTATTTTATAAGCGAGATATATCTGGAATGGAGGCTGATTTTAAACCTATAGAGGTTTCCATATGGTAGAATATAAAATATTATATACAGGGGTGGAAGTGGGCCCTTATCTTTGACTTGTTACTTTCAGTTGTTTTGCATATTATACATTTTATGTGTATTGTAAAGTCATTTTCTTTTTAAAATTTTATTTATTGATTGATTGATTGATTGTCTTTTTGAGACAACTTGCTATGCAGTTCAGGCTGGCCTTGAGCTCACTTTGTAGCCCAGGCTGGTCTCAAACTTGCAATGATCCTCCTGCCTCAGTCTCCTGAGTGCTGGGATTATAGGCATGTGCCACCATGCCTGGCCTAAAGTCATTTTCTTAACATTATTTCTGTTTTTTTGGTGGGCAGTACCAAGGATTGAATCCAGACCTAAGCATGTGCTCTAGTATTGACCTATATTCCCTAATCCAGGAAAAGTATTTCTAAGGAAAGAACCTGTATTGCCTGTCATGTGGTGCATACATACAATCCCATTACTTGGGAGGCTGAGGCAGGATTGCTGCAAGATTGAGGCAACCTATGCTACTTAGTGAGTTCAAGGCCAACTTGAACTACACAGCAAGACACTGCCTCAAACCAAACCAAACCAAAGCAAACCAAACCAAAGCAAGCCAAAGCAAAGCAAAGCAAAGCAAAGCAAACCAAACAATCCTGTACTTGCAAAACTGTATCTAGCACGTACTTTGTATAAGGTGCTGTGCTAAAGTACTTTGACAGATAGACGACGTGTATACAAGTCAAATGCGTTCTTGTTTTTAGGAACTTCAGTGTACTCTAAATATAAAATTGGGTAGGTATTACAGCAAAGATATAGACAGAGCACTGTGGCTTTAGAAACACAAGAAATATGTATGGTAGGAAGAAACTGGGAAAGAGTTCATAGAAATTTGGATTTTGAATGATAATATATTAGGCATAAAAGTCACTGTGTTTCAGAAATGAGGTTATTAGGGCAGAGGAGCTCTAGAGATGAGAAAGTGGTAGTGAGGGAAAATATTAAAGTAATGGATGTAAAACACCTAGCACAGTACCTGGCATATTGTAAGCACTCATCAAAATTTCTGCTTCTTTCTAATTCAAATATGTTTACCTCAACGAGTGTTTTCAAGTTACCAAAACAGACAAAACCCCTAAATTTTAGGTTAATTTGACAAAAGAAGTATATTGTCCAGGTGATATTCAAAATTACAATTATGGTAGTAAAACTGGAGTAGGAATCAGTCAGTACCTTCAATTAATATGAGCCAAATTTCTGAACCATTCTCTCCCCAGAAACTGACCTGTTGAGAAACGTGATACAAATACTGGGAAAAGCCTGCTCTTTCGCACAAAGAGTAGGACAATGTCACACATTAAAAACTCTTACTCCTTTGATGCTCCCTCGGACTTCATCAATTTTACATCCTTGGATTATGAGGAAGATACAGAAAACATAGATTCGTGGTTTGGTAAGTATCTGCTTTTTCTGGCCCTGTTAGGGTTATGCTGAGAATCTTTCACAAATAGAAAAGGTTGCAAGAAAATAACTAGAACATAACCTTTGTTTGGTACCAAGACATCTTGTCATCTACGATTTGATAGAAATGCAGTTGACTTTTTTTCTTTTTGAGACAGGGTTTCACTATGCAGTTCAGGCTGGCCTTGAACTGACAGCGATCCTCTTGCCTCCGCCTCCCGAGTGCTGGGATTACAGGCTTGAGCCACCATACCCAGCAGTGTTGACTTTTGGAATACGTGGGTTTGAATTTTGTGGTTTTTACTTTTTTGTTTTTTTTTTTTTGATTTGTAAATAATTTGTTTTTTTTTGATTCGTAAATAATTTGAACAAACTCAGATAGATGAACTGCATAGCCTAGAAATATCAAAACCATTAAGAATACAGGAGGTATTATCATGAGAACATAAAATATATGTAAACAATAGCCTTATTTTATCATTTACTACCATAAAGTATACACACATCTAGTATAAAAATTAAAAAGGCTGGATGTGGTGGTGCACACCTGTAATCCCAGCACTCTGGAGCCCGAAGCAGAAGGATCACTGTTTTTAGGCCAGCCTGGCTACTTGACTAGTTCAAGGCCAGCCTAAACTTCAAAACAAGACTCTGTCTTTTTTTTTTGTTTTTTCTCCGGTACTGGGAACTGAACTCACGACCTTGCGCTTGCCAGGCAGGCGCTTTGCCGCTGAGCTAAATCCCCAACCCCAAGACTCTTGTCTTTTTTTTAAAAAAACAAAACAAAACAACAAAAAAGTTAAAATTTGTGCTTGCTTCAGCAGCACATATACTAGAAAGTTAAAATTTGCCAAAATTTATGTACAAGGTGTTATATGCAGAGAGAAATGTAAATAACTGTGAAGATGCAGTGTTAAAGTATAACTATAAAATTAGCTGATATAATTTTGTAGCTGCCTTGTGTTTTCAAGAGCCAAAAGTTCTCTGTAGATTTTCAACTTGTATGAGTCAATGCTGTAACTCTTGAGTTAGTCAAGAGTCAGCTGTAATGGAAATGCCGTTATTTTGGGAATGGACGCTAAGTACAAATTAAGGTTATTTTTCAGTTTAGTGTTACAGGCTTTGGGGACATATGGGAAAAGTCGGATGAAACAATGTTCAGTGAAACTACAGGACTCAAACATGCCTGTAGTGGTGGCAGCCACCTCAACACTTGCTCTATTACCATTTGGGTGTAGAGTATAGTATTACAGCTGGAATGTTGACACTGATACAATTTATTCCTCTTACTCAGATTTCTATAGTTTTACTTGTATTTTTATTTTTTTGCGTTTGTATATGTATTAGGTTCTTTGCAATTTTTTTTCTTAAAGGGTCTCACTATGTAGTTCAGGCTGGCCTTAGACTCACTATATAGACCAGGCTGGCCTAGAATTTATGGCAGTCCTGCTGCCTCAGCCTCCTGACTGCTGAGATTATGGGCTTGGGTGATCACTGTAGCTAAATTTTTTGCAGTTGTATCACTTGTGTAGGTTTCCATGTCTACCATCTCAGTCAAGATATACTGAATAGCCAGGCATGGTGGTGCATGCCTATAATCCTAGCACTTGGGAGGCTGGGGCAGGAGGATTGGCATAAGTTTGAGGCCAGCCAGAACTACACAGTGAGACCCTGTCTAAAAAAAAAGAGGGTCTGGAAATACAGCATATAGCTCAGCCGCACAGCGCCTACCTATCAAGTGTGAGGTCCTGAGTTCAATTCCCGATTACCCCCCCCCAATAATGAATAGTTTTAACATCACAAAGATCCTGTTTTGCCCTTTTATTTTTCTTTATTTACTTCTGAGACCAGAATTTCATTACACCTTGCCATGCTATTTTGTACAGGCTGACCTTGAACTCTGAAGCTTCTTTTTTTTTATGAGACAGGGTCTCGCTATGGAGTTCAGACTGGCCTTGAACTCACTTTGTAGCCAAGCCTGGTCTTGAACTTGCAACAGTCCTCCTACGTCAGCCTCCAGAGTGCTGGGATTACAGGCGTGTGCCACAGTGCCCGGCTTGAACTCTGAAGCTTGAGAGATCCTCCTACCTTAGCTTCTTGAGTAGTTGGAACTGTAGGCATACACTGTTGTGCCTGGCTTGTTCCCCTTTTACTTACTTACTTACTTATTTATTTATTTGAGACGTGGTCTTGCTATGTATTCCAAACTGGCCTTGAATTCACTGTGTAGCCCAGGCTACCCTCAAACTCATGGTGATCTTCCTGCCTCAGTTTCCCAGGTTTTGAGAGTGTGGGTGTGTATCATCCCCACCTGGCTCTTGTTGCCCTTTTACAACTGCACACATCCCCCTCCCCTCAATCCTTCTCTCTCTCCCTTTTTTTCCCCTCTTTTCTTGAGACAGGTCTACTATGCAGACCAAGGTAGCCTTGAACTCACTGAAGCAGCCCAGACTGACCTCAGACTTGTGATTTGCTGTATCAGCCTCTCATATGCTAGGATTATAAGGTGTGCCACCAAGCCTGGCTTCCTCAATTCTTTTTTTTGTTTTTGTCTTTTTTTGCAGTGTCAGGCTGGGGATTGAACCCAGGGCCCTTGCACTGAGCTACACACCTAGCTAGCCCCTTTTTCTTTGTTTTTTGAGAGGTTCTTATTATGTAGTTCAGGCTGGCCTTGAACTCACTGAGATCATCCTGCCTGATCCTCTTGCCTCAGCCTCCTGAGTGCTGGGATTACAGGCATGAGCTACCACACCGTTTTGTTTTTTTGGGTGGGGGACAGGTTTTAACTATGTAGTTTAGGCCAGCTGGAAGTCACTATGTGGCCCAGGCTGGCCTCAAACTCACTGTGATCTTCCTACCTCAGCCTCCTAGGTGTTGGGATTATAGGTGTGTGCCACCATGCAATGCTTTTTTTTTTTTAAGAGACAAGCTCTTACTAAGTGGCTCAGGCTGGGTTTGAACTTGCATTCCTGCCTGAACCCTCTACAGTGCTAGAATTACAGCCTTGTGCTACCATACCCAGTTCCTCAATTTACTTCTTCTTTTTGGTACCAGGAATCAAACTCATGCCCTTGGCTAGGCAGGTGCTTTGCTACTGAGTATGTCCCTGTCCTCCTCAATTCATTTTTAAATGGAGACATTATGCTTCTAAGAACTTAATTCTCTTACCTAGATAGGATTTGTGATTTGGTTCCTGTGATGTGTAACAAACCCTAAAACCAGATCAATAATAAATAAGGATATGATTATGTCTTTGTATAACTTTGGGATAATATGTGCAAATAGTAGTTGATAGGGTCCCTTCATTTTATTCTTTCTCATTTCTGTCCTTATTAAAAGAAATCTTCAGTTTGTGGTAGTGACAAAAATGATTCCATTGAGTTGCACTTATCACTCACGGTGCAGTGTCTGAATATGATAGCATCCGCTCTTTTCTTGGAAAAGGACTTCAGTAGCATCCAGCGGGAATTGTGACAGCAGAGGTCCATGGGAAGTGGCGTGGGAGAAAAAGTAGAGAGAGGAGTGTCAGCTGTCCATGCCCTTGCTTTGCTGGGATCTGGAGAGTATGCCTGGGCTGAGATTTATTCTTCAAGTGTTTAAAAAAATAAGAACAGAAAATAAGTAAAAATTTAAAATTAGCATAGCCATACTATTAATTACAGTTTAGAAGAAAAAGCTTTGCCCACAGTCTTTAAAATGACTTTAGCTTGCCAGGCATGGTGGTACACGCCTGTAACCCCAGCACTTGGGAGGCTGAGGTAGGAGGATCATTGTGAGTTCGAGGCCAGCCTGGGCTACAAAGTGAGCTCAAGGCCAGCCTGAACTGCATAGCGAGACCCTGTCTCATAAAGACCAAAAAAAAAAGAAAAGACCTTAGCTGTAGCATCAGTTTCCCATTTTCTTCCAGATGGCCCCATCGTTTTGCACAGTTATAGTCAGAGCTCGTTTGCACAGAGTAGTTGTGCTGGGGCTCCCTGCATTCCTGGAGCCCGGTCAGTGGGCTGTGGTAGAATAGACCTTTTCCTGTTTGGCACTGACTTTCAGGCACAGCAGAGCCTAGGATAATAGTCCTTGAGAGAAACTAGCTCTGCTCCATTCTCACACATCCCACACTCCCATCTTCTAGCCCTGTTGAAGAAGAATCTATGCCTGAGATAGCCAAGCATTTGCTGGTGGCTGCAGTTTTCTTTAAGAGGAACATGATGTACTTGGGTGGGAGATAAGGGTAGGTCATGTTGTGTGGCTCTAATTGTGTATTAAGCAAAGATTAGGAGCTGTTCACAAGGTAGAATTGATATTTGTCTATCATACATTGTTCATTGTTGCCATTTTTTAGTGATAATTTTTGAAGTCTATATCTGACATATGTATACTTGTTTCCTTTTGAATATTGGAACTTTGCTTGTTTTTGGTACATGAGTTGGAAGAATCCTGGAAGGTGCTTTATTCCCCATTTTAAGTACCTGTTTCTGATTTGTTTTGCTTACTGTTTGGATAATGATAAAATTACCTTTCTACAGAGGAGAAAGCCAGTTTGGAGAATAAGTTTCTTGGGAAAAATGGGACAGGAGAGCTTTTTCAGAACAAAACTTCCTTGAGGAAAGCAAACCTTCAGCAGGCTAGTCTCACACCTTTGCGACCAGGTAAGAAAGAAAATTGTAGAAAAAAGCTCCTTGACAGAAAGGTGGGATAGTAATTATATATGGAGTCTGAGGAGCCGAGGAAATTACCTAAATGCTCTATCTCTTGGTAAAATGGACTAATTCATTTCACAGTGAACATAAGGGTAATCATGTGCTATAGGTTTAAAAAAAAAAAAATCTATTGAAACTTAAGCTGACATAAAATTTATTGCTTAGTATATAACTTGCCTTTTTTTTTAAGTACTGGGAATTAAACCCAGGGCCTTTACACTGAAATACATCCCAGCCTTTCTGAAAAGTTTTTTATTTTGGGAGTGTCATTAATTTGCTAAATTGCTGGGGCTAGGTAGAACTAAAATCCTTCTGTTTTAGTCTCCCAGAGTGCTGAGGTTATAAGTATAAACCACCATGCCTGGCACATAACTGTTGTATTTTCATGTCAAGATTAAATGTAACCTAATCTGGGTTTGACCAGGAAACATTACAATGGGAGAGACATACTGCTTGCTGCCATACAACAATTTTTCTGATTAAAAAGCCAGGCGTGGTGGCTCATACCTGTAATTCCACCACTTGGGAGACTGAGGTAGGAGGACTGCCATGAGTTTGAGGTCAGCTTAAACTGTATAGTGAGACACTGTCTCAAAACAGAAACAAAATGAATAAACAAAAACCTAAAACCTAAAACTTCAGATTTTAAAAGATGATTGACATTTATTTTTTATTTTTTTAAGCTAAGATGATTGACATTTAAACTAGTGGTTACTAAATCTGTAGAATATTGTCCGTTTGATCAGAGCCTGAGAAGCATGCTTTAAGATGTTGTAAGCTCTCTTGAAAATGGTTCTTTTAAAACAGAAAATCAGTTCAGTTGCACATAACATGTGATTCACATACTGTGTAATTCACTTCTGATGCATGTTAGTGTTTTTAGTGTATTTTGCAAAGTTATACAGTTGTCACCATAAATATTTGAAAATTATTATTTCAATTTTTATACATGTTTACAGCACGTAATGACCACATTCATCATGAGGAGTTGATACATGGATGTAACAAGTTTTAATTCTTTTTTCATTCCTTCACTCCTTTCCTCTCCATCCCTCCATTTCTTGGTCCCCTTTTGCAGAAGATCTGTCTCCCTGTTTCTTATTATCTGTCTTTTATTTTGGTCTTTATTTATGTTTTGGGTTTGTCATAAAAGAAACGGTGTGATATTTAAGCTTGTGTGTCTAATTTCATTTAATGTTATTGTCTCAAGGTGCATCCATTTTCCTACAAATGATTAAAGTTTGTCCTTCTTTATGGCAGAGTAGTACTGCATTGTGTATGAATACATTTTAGGAGTTGTGCTGCTGTAAACATGGGTATGCATGTATCGATGCAATATGAACATTTGAAAATTGAAACTGGCCTCAATCACATCATTAATTAGAGGGTTGTATCAGAGAAATAGCTGTAATTTCAGGGAACTTGTTTAGTCTGTAGTGTGAGCTGCTAGGCTTCCTTTAAGTAATTATTAATGGATATAGGTGATGTCTCTTGTACTGAGGATTTGAACAAGGACCCTAGACTTAGGTATCTTTCTTGTGCGAGGAGTTAGAACTCTTTGGCATGTTTTATTTGACATGTGAAATTCCTGTGCCTGTTTCTTCTGGTGAATTTCATTACTTCTTTCAATGTGGTGGATTTTTTTTTGCTATGATGGTGTGTCTGTGTGTGTGTATGTATATTTGTAGTACTAGAGATTGAACCCAGGGCCTTAGCACTGAGCTATATCCCCAGCTCGCTTGTTCTCTCTCTCTCTCTTACTCATGTCTGTCTCTGTCTGCCAGTCTGTCTGTCTATCTATCATCTATCTCATCTCTATTTAGAAATAAGATCTCAGTAGGTTGCTAAATTTCCAAGGCTGGAGTCTGAGGCCAGCCTGGGCTACATAGTAAATTCAAGGCCAGCCAGAACTGTATAGCGAGACCCTGTCTCCAAAATGCTCCACTCCCCCCAAAATTTTCCCAGGCTGGGCTTGAATTTGGGATCTCTTGGCTCACCCTCCCACAATGCTGGGAGAGGATGGGATTACAGAGTTACACCACTGTGGTGTTGCACCACTTTGTGTTCTTGAATTGAAAAGGCATATGATGTTACTTAGTTTATCTGCACCTCTTTCACTTTAAGTGTGTTTGACCCAGTGATTTGTATCATTAAGTAGAATAGAAAGCTCCAAAGTGAAAGGTTTTGCTTGGCAAAGATGATGCATACACTTTACATGTATGCCTTTTAGGTCTCTCAGAATCTTTGTATTCTTTCTCATTAATTATACGTTGTCACTTCTCTACTAAAATTGTTGACTCTGCCTAAAATTCCCTTCTGATTGAGAAGTGCCTACTCATCTTCAAGGTCAACTCAGAACCTCTTTTTGGTAACTGATGCCCTTTGTGGTTTTTTTTTTTTTGGTGGTCCTAACTGAACCCCAGGCCTTTGTATCGAGCTATATCCTGAGCTCTTTTTTAAATTTTTATTTTGAGATAGCATCTTGCTAATTACTAAGTTGCCTGGGCTGAGCTTGAATTTGGGATCCTTCTGCTTCAGCTCCCAGAATGCTGGACTTTATTAGTGTGGGTGGCATTATTTTTCTTTTTATAAATCTTCGGTTGGCATTATTTTTCTCTTTATAAAATTTTTAAGTTCAGTTTGATAAATTAAAAGAATTCTACATCTTTGTTTATGAGGGATCTTGGCTTTTTTGTGGTTGTGTGTGTGTGGCAATGCTCCCTTTTTAGTTTTTTAGAGGAATTTGTGTAGAATTGATACGTCTTTCTTAAATATTGGTATGTAGAATTAACTAAGGAAGTTATCTGGGTCTGGAGTTTTCCTTGTAGAAAGGCTTTTAACTTAAAATTCAATTGTTTTAATAGGTATAGATGATCTTTTTCTTTTTATAGTGCTAGAGTTTGAATTCAGAACCTCATGCATGCTGAACATATGCTCTATCACCAGATATGGATCTTTTTCTTTTAGAGTAAGCTGTGATAGTTTGTCATTCAAATTGTATATGTACCAAGTCATAAGATGAATGTATTATTACCTAAGTATCACAAACATATACTAAAATAAATAAATAGAAAATAGTGAATTAAAAAGAATTTATAGGCAAGAAGGTTTTCTTTTTTTTTTTTTTTAAGAAGGTTTTCATAATATTTCCTTGTTGTCCTTTAATATTTATAGATTTTTATAATGATGTCATCTCTCTTATTCCTAATACTGGTAAATTGTGTCTTTTCTATTTCCTGTATAGGCTGGCTGGGGATTTATTACTATTACTGATCTTCTCAAAAAACCTGCTTTTGATTTCACTGATGTTTTTCTATTTTCTGCTGTCTGTTTTATGAATTTCTACCCCCCACCTCAATACCCCGCCTCACCACACCCTGCCCTGAGGATTGAAGAAACCTAGGACCTCACACATGGTAGAGAAGTATTCTACCACTGAGCTACAGCTCCTGCCTTAAATGTGCAGTCCTCCTGCCTCCTTCCCAGGGTGCTGGGTAATAGACGTGTGCCACCTTACGTGGGTCAGCTTTTTTTAAAAAATTAATTTTTAAAAATTAGTTTGGGATTGAACCCATGTCCGCTTGTTACCATTCTCAGACTCTTTTTAGTTTCTCTTGGGTTTGAAAGCCTCTTTCTTTCTACTGCTGTATGGCATCCAACAAATTTATATGTTGAATTTTCATTTTCATTCCATTGAAAATACTTAAAATTTTCATTTTCAAATCTTCTTTGACCCATGTGTTATTGAGAAGTACGTTATTTATTCCAAATATTTGAGAGGGGTTTTCTAGAAATCTTTTACTGATTTCTTAGAGATTTAATGCCGTTGTGGTCAGAAGCATACTTTGTGTGGCTTGAATCCTTTTAAATGTACCGAGACAATTCCCTTGCTCACAGTATGGTCTGTCTTGATAAGTGTCCATATGTGCTTCAAAAGAATGTGGAGCCTGGGGCTGGGGATTTAGCTCAGCGGCAAAGCGCCTGCCTGGCAAGCGCAAGGTCGTGAGTTCGGTTCCCGGTACCGGAGAAAAACCAAAAAAAAAAAAAAGTGGAACCTGCTGACTTTGCCTGGACAGTTCGACCTCAGTTAGGTCAAGTTGGTTGGTAGTAGGGTTACTGTTTGTTTTGTTTTTGTTTTTATTTTGCAGTGATTCTCTTCCATGAAAGCTTTCAAAATTTTTATTAGGGTTCTGGTGTTCTAAAATGTGATGAAGGTGTGTTTGGAATGCTTTTTTTCTGATTTTCTGACATAGTATCTGAGGCTGGCGAGAGGCTAGCAAATATTTTGGCCATGGTTACTTCATTTCTGCTTTAACCAAAGTAGTTATTTTAAAAAAATGTTAACTGACACAAAACTGTACATGTTTATGGGGTAGGGTATGATAAATTGATATATGTATGCAATGTATAAGAAAGTAGGTTTTCTTTGAGATTTGAGTGCTAATTTTTGGTCTCCCACAGTTGAGAACACTTACTACAAAGAGGGAGAAAATGTAAATCTTGTGGAACATTCTAATTCATCGAATGCTTGTTGCACCCTGGAAGTTGAGGGAGCCAAATCAAGACATACTCCAGCCCAGCCTCAGAGGTGAGACCGTATGGGGGCCCAGATGTTGTGTTTATAATAATTATATTTAAAACCCGGTAACTTGATGCATGTGATGAAGCAAAGCAGTATGATTAATGTCGTGATACTGTAAACGCTTTCTGATGCTTCGAGAGAAATGGCCTCGATAGAGTAGTCCTTCTGTGGGTCCAAACTGTGAGAGACTGTATGGTACCTTAGTTAACACTTCAGAGCTTTGGTCTATGAGCTGAATTTATAGATAAGGGCTCAGAAATGAGGTGCTTGCTCAGGGTAAGTTCATTTCAGAGACAGGATTCAAATCCTAATCAGTCTGGTATAGTTGTTACATCTTCCTAATGTCAAATGTCTCTTTGTTCTTTAGGTTTACCTTTTTTTGGGGGGGGTGAGGTCTTGCTTTGCTATGTAGGCTGGCTTCAGTCACATTTCTGTTCTTGAGCTTCCTAAGTAGCTGGGACTGCAGGCACATACCACCTTGTCTGGTTTTCAGTATTTAAGCTTTCTCATGGTTGTGTTTGTGTAGTCATTTTCTCTCCTTTTACTTTAACCTATTTTTGCCTTTTATTTTATTTATTATTTTTGTGGTGCTTGAGATTGAATCTAAGATCTCATGCATGCTAATCACATATTCTACTACTGAGTTACACAACCAGTCTTGTCTTTGATTTTGTTGTTGTTGAGACAGGATCTCCCTATGTAGTTCAGGCTGGTCTTAAATTCGCTATATATATAGCCAGGCTGGCCTGAAACTTGTGGTGATCTTCCTGCCTCATCAACCCCCACAGTACTAGGGTTACAGGTATGCACCACTATGCCCCATCTTGCTTTTTTTTTTTTTGAGACAGGGTCTTGCTGTGTAGTTTAGGCTGGTCTTAAACTCACTATGTAGCCCAGGCTGGACTTGAGTTTGCAGCG